ACAGACGGACAGACGGACAGACGGACAGACGGACAGACGGACAGACGGACGGACAGACAGACATGGCTTAATCGATTTCTTTTTTCATCCTGATCATTTATGTATACATTTGTCTATATCTATCTCGATTCGTTTTGGCTGTTACAAACAACCGTTATGTGAACAAAATTAATATACCCTTGTGCACAAGTGCGCTCGGGTATAAAAAAATCGTTTTTTGGAGGTATTTTCAAAAATTCCCAGCTCACGTAAATTTTAATACTTTCCTCAAACATTTGGCGGAAGTCTTAAAATATAACAAACATTTTATATTTCCGATGGACAAACAGTACCAATTTTTTGTATTTTTTTTTATGAAGAGGGATGCTCCCTAATGTACATATGTGCTGCACAACTAGCATACATGTTTGGAAAAATATGCTTCATTTGCTCATTTATTACTACCCGAATAGCGCTTGCCACCATATTCGGCTTGCCGAAACAAAGGCAATTCAACAATCTGTACATTCCTCTCTTCCCTCTTCATTTACATAGCTAAATAGTATGCAATGCCTTCAAATGCGCGCTTTAACGATTTGTTTTATGCGTTTGTTGACAAGTTTATTTGGTGACAGTACGTCTTTTGCATTGTCGACGGATTTTGACTTTGCATTTAAGTAGTCTAAACTCTAAATGTTTATAGCATTTTTGGTTGTTTTATGTGCAATTATGCGTCTCTTTTATGACTACTAGCTAGGATTTCGTACATACATATGTATATATGTAAGTTATTGTTCCATTTATTTGCCTTATTTTTTTCACGAAAAATATGTTTGTTTAAAAACTGGACAGAGATTTTCAGTAATTTGTGATAATCCTCTGAGGCCGCGCTCATAGTCTGATCAGGCTTATCGAGAGGCTTTCCGATGCAAGGACTATTGTCTCGTGGATTTCCAAGCCTCGGAATGAGCGTTCAATAACAGATTTCCAGATATCAACCAAATGCCTTGATTGAGCTTGCCAAGGGTAATTCTCTGGCGGAATTTACAGAAATATAAGGCAATAAATACTTATAGAGAGAGTGGTGACGGCGAACATAGACGAGATCCAAATTTAAAGATGCGTGAGAATTTGGCGTGCTCGCACCACTTCTTTGAAATTTTTTATTGGCAGTTGATTTTTCCGACAGTATGATAAGATGTTGTATTTTATAACGAATCAAGTGTGGTTTCGCGACAAGCCGCTATCATTCGGTAACCTAAACTAAATACGGCAAAATGTCGAAATTGGTATATCTTGATAGCAGAGATCTCCAATTACTCGCTTTTTTAAGTCATTAGTTGACTATGGTTAACCATATATGTAGTGGAGCGGCGGGCAAACGAGTATGTAACCAACACGAAATCGCATTCCACCCATACAAAAAGTATGACCGAGTACCCTAGTCTTTCATACACTACTCTCATACACTTTTCTTATCAAATGTCATGGATAGTATGTACTCGTATTGTCGCAAACAAAATTTACTACAAATGTGCTGGAACTTCGTGCCAAATACATTCGGCTAACTTACTATCCTCATATACTTCGTTTATTGAATACAGATGCAGACACGAATGAGAAATTCACTCCTTCGTTTCTGTATACTTCGCAAATTAACTGCAGTTGATCCGGATTAAGTCCTAGAGTTAATTTCTAAACTTAACTCGGATCAAGGGAATAATCGATGACAACACTGACCAAAACTCAGAGAGCGTAGAATACCGAGAAAGTACAAAACTAGCATGGACACACACCTTTTTATCGGTAATGCATTCACCATACTAATGCAGATAGGAAGCCAGTTAAAATTGAATAAGACTTATTTGAATTAATACGGTGACTGCATTACCGACGAAAAGTGGAATGTCCACGCTAAGTAATTTTGCCTTTTCTTTGTGTTATACGCTTCCTGAGCCAAAAAAGCAGCCAACTAATTCACTCGTTTACGGTACGGTACACATTGCCAGAGTATGAACAATGAGTAAATTCTCCGTGGATGTGAACCGTTGTAGTACCCAATTCCAAGAATATAGTGGAATGACTTAAGTGTTGCGACCATTTTTAATTTAGCTCTCTTATTATTCAAGAGTTCAAGAGAAATGCAATAAAGAACATACAAACGAGAGCGAAACGATGATAGCGGGACAGCATGTAAACGCAATTAAGCACAGTAACATACCCTCCCTATGAGCTTATGCTTTTTTGGGATAGTACCCGTGAGTGGCACAAAGCGTAACACAAAATAATAACCAAATTAGTTAAATTTATTTTCAGCTTCTCATAGGAAGCTCCCTTGCATTTTTGGTGTTTTTGGGTGACCTATAAAAATAGTTAATATTAAAAATGGTTAAATAAACAATTGGATATTGTTATTGGAAGTCTCCTAAAGGGAAACAAAGCCTTCCGATCGAAAAATACTGATTTTCCGGAATTATATACCATTTCTACGAAAATGTGTTTTTCCCAATATAAAGCTCATCGAAAACATCGTGGGCTTTGAGGCAGCTCTAAATATTATTTTTAACAAACACCAATACCGGTATTCCTTTTTTCCATGTAGAAAAATCCTATGCGGCGAGAGCTGAACATTTTAAACTTTTTATTTTCGCATGTATATTTGGACCTAATCCTAATGAACACCCTCATACAGTTACAGGAACGGCTTAGCTCGGCTCAGCACCGCTTCCTGTGTGCGCGTACACTACAATATCATCGTTTCTCTTTCTTAGCCATCCACCTCATTTTTTAAAAGGTATTGGCACGAGGCTTCTGAAGGAGCTCAATTAACAAAGCGGTGACACCTTGCTCACTAAAGGACTAAACATGCCATGTACACTCCCTCAAATTACAGTCACTTCGTTTGCCGGGGTCACCACCATAGGGTATAGATCCTCTGCTGACGGCTTATTTTTTGTTTTTATTCGAGTCTTTAAATCCAAATACTTAATACCGCTTATCAAGTTTTTCTTCGCATGCATAAAGCTTCTCTGCTGGAAAAGTATCTGATGAGGTCTGAGCACTTTAGAAGGCCATTTTCTCTGCAATCTGGAACCAGGAAGTAATGTGTGTATGTAATATGACAAAATATAAGGGGCATCTAGCCCGCTCATTACAGGGAAAAGTTCTGTAGACAAATCCGCTTTAAAGTTAGGTGAAGATTTTTGTGTTGAGAGACCAAAATTTTATCAAAATTACCGTAATTTGCGCGAAACAAGTCACGTGTTTCCAACTTCCTTAAAAATAGAAGAAAAAAGTCAAAACAGCTAAAAATCAACCATTTGGCAAAGGACACGGGGCTGGCACATATGTTACCTTAACAAAAGCAGAAAGAAAAACGCTCGCACCACCAAAAGCTTAACAATGTTAGCACCCCCAAAAACTTCATAATCCCATAAACAACAAAAAAAAAACAAAAAAAAATACGGAGAGACTACGAGTAAAATGTGGCAGACGCAGCAGCAGACATTGGCACTGACACTGACACTCAAACACCCTCAAGCTTGTGCAAAGCCATAACAATACAAGCAGCAACAACTTTTTAAACTCCAACTACACAAAAGTGTGGGTGCGCAACTCTCTGTCTGTCCCTCTGTCTGTCTCTATGTAAGTTCGTTACGTATGTTTGCAATGGCCTATGCACCCGCATGCTTATGTTTGTTTGTGTGTGTATGCGCACTGCAACTAACGATTTTTTAAAAAGTCCGCTCACGTATGAAAATAGTATTTTGATACCCCGTGTATAATGGGATTTGTTTATTGCTATCATTTGCGAAAACTTTCCGAGCTTTTACGATGTGTAGAGCTCGAAAAATATTTGAATTTGGATACCGTAATGGCGGCAAACCGGGCGGTGGTGGATGGGTGGCGCACAGAACGCAGCAGACTGCAACGAGACTCTGTGCGATTCGCCGCACGGCTGACAAAGCGGAAATGTGTATGGAAGTGAGCTTAGGTGGCGAGATGAGCGAAATGCGCATTAATGCTGGAGCGGCATGGCGTGAAGTCAGGTGTTATCCAAATGAATTTTGAGCTACGGTGGAGGATTTGGTTGGTTGGTGCGTTGCGTTGAAATGCTCAAAACTTTTACAAGTTTTTTACTTTTTTTGCAAACATTACATACTCGTACATATTCGCTACATTCGCACGTTGGCCGGTGCCATAGCCCCAACTGCTCATTACCACCTGTGGTGGTGTGAATTCCAAAGTTTTTTGCAAGGAAACTGTGTAATAGAAAATTGCTAAGATGGAGAATAGTACCAAGTGTGGGTGGCTGTAAAAATAAATGTCAAGCGTGAATATGGTGAAGTATGCAAGTATGAAGTGGATGGTTGGGGTTGTAGTGTGGTTCACATTTGGGCTTATGTCTTTTGTTTTGGCTTTGGCATGGTCCTTAACAGCTTCTTCTATTACATATTTCCTCTAGCTTCTGTCAATGTTTATTTCATTTTGTACTTACATATTTTTTCATAAGAAACTAAAAAACCGAGAGCTCGTCATTGCCGTCATCATCATCCATGACACTACTTTGTGAATGCGGGTGTGTCGAAATACAGTATATTCTATTCGCGAAAACTTGAATTAAATTAAAAATTTTTAATTAACAAAGGATTGATGAATATCGGTATCGATACGGACTACGATAACGATAATTATAACAACAACGATAACAATAACGATTTCTATAACGATTACGATATCGATTGAGATTACGATATCGATAAAAATTACGATATCGAAAACAAATATGATATCGATAAGAACTACGATAACGATTATTACAATAACAATCGTAAAAATAACGTCTGCGATTACGATTACGTTATCGATAACGATTACGATATCGAAAACGATTACGATGCCGATAAAGATTACAATATCGAACACGAAATCGATAAAAATTTTTATAAAGAACTACGATAACAATAGCGTTTGCGATTGCAATTACGGTAAATAATTAGATATCGATGGGGACTACGTTAATGATTACGATAATTTCAATAACAAGAATAGCCATAACAATTGCTACTAAAATTACTATATTGATAAAGATTACGATTTCGAATACGACAACGATAATTATAATAACAACGATAAAAATAAATTTTGCGTTTACGATTAAGATAAAGGTTAACGATAATTATAATAACAACGATAACAATAACAATTGCGATAACGGTTTGAATTTGATAACAATAGCGTTTTCTATTACGATTACGATATCGATAGAGATCACTATAACTATAAATACAATATCAACAATAACAGTAACGCTTGCCTTTACGAATACATTTACGATAACAAATACGGTATCGATAAGGACTACGATAACGATAACTACAATAGCAACGATACCAATAACGACTCCGATTACGATTACAATGTTAGTAAGAATTACAATTTCGATATCGATAACGAAATTTATATCAATAAGCACAACAATAATGATAACGATAACGAACTGGACATCCATTTACTCGAGCGAGAGAATATTTAGTCATACCTTTACGACGCATCTCCATTTATATTCATAGCTGTAAATAAAAATAGTGCCCTCTTCGATTGTCCTGCCTTTTCTCTATTTCCTTCAAGAAGACAACTCGCCTTATAAGTATCCAATGAAATCCAATAGCTTATTTGGTGACGTCAAGTGCATGGGTTTTTTACTCCAGGGTTAATTACGCTAGGTATATCTCCCGTTTCCTCGGAAATTCATCGCGTTGGAGAAGTTGATGCCCAAAATTTTCAACCTCTTTACCACAGAATCCGTATAAATCGTTAGACGAGACTTTTAGTTCGTATAGCTGATTTGGCAATCTGCAATGGCCTCTTAAGTTACCTAGAAGACTTCCTACTTTGTTCTTCGGAAGGCTAATAACTTTGCAATATCTTTCATTATTTTATCTCCTCAATAGCTTATGTACCTGGCTATGTTATGAAAATTCGTGCCACACTTTTCTACGGGTTTATTTTCCTAACCGTATTACAAATTGTATTATCCTGTGATATGTAAGCGATAGGCTCGAGGATACTTTCCACTGTGAGACAAGATTTTCAGTAAATTTGTTGATAAGATTGATGTATTATATACTTCTATTCTGGCTGTCTTATTAAATTTGTTTATAGACTTTGTAGACATTTAAGTTTCTTAGGTGAAATTCTAAAAGCGACCTATGCTGGATTTCCACTTTGCATTAAATGGCAAAAATTGTAATGACAACGTTGGGCATTAAAAAATATTCGTATCATTACGTTAAAAAAATAGGCATTGAATTCATTTCCACAAGGCATTTTTTAAATGCCTCCAATTTTTTGTAATTTCAATGCCTAGTGGAAATTCGGGTGGTCAAAATGAAGTTGGGCAGGCAGTTAACGCCACCTCGAGAGAGCTTTTCGGGAATGTTGATGAAATGTGCATCTGTAAGAATCGAGATCTGGTGCTTGGCTAGTTGCAGAAGCTGCCTTGACCACATGTGGTCAACAACCCTCCAGAGCCTTGCAACTTTGCATGCCGTGGTTTTCACTCAGCGCTCGCTCAGCCAACTGTGACCCCATCTGTCCAGAAGCAGGACACAGGTTGCCAAAAAACTTCAATGCCGTTCCTATCCGAGGTTATGGCCTCGACGGTGCCCTGACTAGCAAATTTATGAGCCTTGCAATTTCCAGTGAAGTCACACTGGGTCCTAGGACCCAAATCATCTTGATATGGAAGTATTCCCTGGCGGTTGAGAGACAGGTCAGCAATTTCTCGACTAGTTTCGATCGTCTCACTAGTGATCCCAGCACCCTGATTGTCACTTGGCTATCAGAGGAGATATTTAACCTACTAGTCGACCCTTTTATAGTGGCCACCTCCATCTGAAATACGCTGCCGAGATCCGGCTCTCAAAACATGCGATTTTAGTAGTGACTTACTTCCGCTGTTGGTATGTGAGGAGTCTCTTCTTCGCGCAGAAGTTTATCAATCGTCGGGGTAATCTTTGTGATGTCAATAGTTGGAGTTCCTCTGCCCCTGCCTTAGGAGAGACCCGAAGTATATTAGTTTATTATTAATAACTTCAAATTAGTAAATCTGTCTTAGCGTTTTAAAATCTAAGTAGCCTAAACTGAGCTGATACCCATATCACTTGAGGTTAACGTAATTTCTATCACTACCGTGGTGAAAGCAATTGTGGGCTAGATTTTATTAGGATGGGCCGTTTCTAATGGTGTTGCTGCTGTTCATGATTAGTCACGATTAGAAGTGATGATTCTCTCAGTTGGGACTGGCCCTGCGCTATAATTTTTCATGGACTGCTGCGAGATGTCCTTGTCTATCTGCTAATCTGCGTTGATTCTCCCCACTGCCTCACCGCTCAGTAAATGCCGACCATGGCAGTTTGAATTGACTGTACTTCCCATCGGGGCTACCGAATTTGCGCTCTCGTGATCAGAACCACAAGCGGCGTCTTTACGGTCACATGTGGGTTCTACTAAACTCCGGCGTTGATCTGTTGGGAGTGAGCCTTGTTCAATGATCAGTTGCGCTTAGAAGTGCTGGCTCTCTATATATCCCGCTACTTGTAGGTGCTTTTCCCTCACTAGATTATACATTCGCTTCATTTTTGCATGAAATGGTAATTTTTTGTTTCGTCAATCCATCTATTCGCTGCACAGTACTCGTCACGCTACGATGACGACTGTTATATAATATTGACACTTTAGCGCCGCAAAACAGCAGCCATTACGACCAAAAATGACAAAAACAAAACCAAAAATGGAAACTCTAAAAATAGTAAGAAACATAAGTAAGTAAATCCAACAACCTTCATTACGACGACCAGAATGTGCAATATGATCTGCAAGCCATTTTCCCAACCTTGCAACAAGAGGGAAAAAATATAAAAAAGTAAAATAAAATAAAGTAATGTAAACAGCGAAAAGTTACATTTACCTACAACAATAAATGTTAAGCATACTTTATGAGGCGGCAAAAGTAAGCAGACGAGGGTGGCTGAAATCCTAGAGGAAAGAGTAGCAAAACAGGGGAGAAAAAGTGGCGGGTAAGGCAACAGACATTGCAAGCCAACATAAATCCGTGGACTTTTCGAAGCCACTTCAACTTTTTCACACTTACCTTAGCATATGGATGGGTATGTAACAGCGTCAACGTGCGCCAGATGGCACTTTGGCAACGCCGTCGGTAAGCTGTGACGGCTATATGGCTATGTACAACTGCGGCTGCTGTCAGTGAAATGCGATACAGTGCAAGTACTTGAAGCAGCAGCGACGACACCCGAGCGACCGATCATCAACCCACCACCACCATGAAACTTGAAATGTTCAGCCTTCTTGCTATTGTTTCAAAGGCAGTCAAGTGGCGCCTTGAAGGCTGCTCAGCCACGCTTGTCCTCAGATGGTCGGTCACACAAAGTCAGCGCAATCGTTTTCGGGGGTATAGCAGAGATTATAGTAAAAGAAATATATGTCTGCCTCAGTGTTTGTGTGCGTGCTGTGCTGGTTGTGTATGTGTCGCAAGCTTTTGGGGCATGTGGCACGATGCATGCTGACACTGAAATTACTTTCATTGCCGCATTTTTCATCATCATCGTCGTCATCGTTGTCGGCATCGTCATTGGCCTCCTTCATCTCAATTTCACCCAGCCACTGAGACTTGTAAACTTGCACTTTGCTCCCAACCATCGGCCGTTTTACTACCTTTTTCGGCATGCAACACACGACGGCCAACACCTGATACAGCTACTTTGTATTATAGCCTACACATATACATATTTACATCAATGTATTTACATAGGTACTTATTTGCGAAATGCCAGCAATAAGGATATCGTGTCAGCTATGAAATTGCAACCGCGCCTGGAATCTGGCGATGGATAAATGTCTGGCTGAGTGCCTGCCAACCGTATTTCTTCTGCTGCGTGTGCGCAACGGTAAAGCAGTAATTTTAAGGAATCATTTCACACCTTTGCTCTTCTTTTCAACGACAGCTTCATACTTGCACTGCCCACATGGCCGCCTTTTGTTCGCTTGCCTGGCGTCCTGCCTACTTCTGCTTGTCACTTTTGCCCAAATCTCATTTGAGTTATTACTGCAATTATCGTTTTGGGTTTGTTTCTTTGCCTGCTATTGCACATTTGGGGTCTCGCACGTCATTTATCTGCATGCGTTCATACCCCTAAAGTTCTCTGACAATTGCCATTGAGCGTTATTATTGTGCTTCGCATCCCAGCTGCTGGTTGTGTTGATGACTTTGTTGATCCATCGATTATGATTTTATTGTTTGTATATCTTTGTTTCAACACCTTTTGAGCAGGCAAGTTTTAGCTAGATTTTGTTATTGTTTCTGTTCTACCATTTAGTTATGTATTTGTCTTTTCTTTCTTTCTAGTTTTATAAATCTTCCTGTGGAGCTGAATATTCCATTACAGCTGCCGTGTATCCACATATTTCGGCTGTCCTGATATCCCGTTGAGTGAAATATTGCATAGCTCTCTGAAAGCATCACAAGATGCAGTGTGTGATTTGGGCTCGGAGAGGGCAATTTAGGTTAAGCTAGGAAAGATGCGTTATTACATACTGACCCTAAATTAGAAATCAATAGCAAGCTTTTCAAGCATTTGCGTTCTAGTTATATATTAGCTTTGTGCGCCAGCGTAAGCGCGGAGCTCAAGCTGTAGTCATTTTCGTGAGATATTATAAAAGAATAGTTGAAATTTTGGGCAGTATAATATTAAAGCAGAGTTGGTCTGGGTGAGGTTCTACCTCGAGCCCGTCTGAAGCGCCGAGTAAAAGCAATAATGGATTAAGACTTAGCAATGGCGAGAGAACCTAGAATCGAATACCACACCCAGATCTGTAACTCTTAGGATTTGATAGCGGAGAGCCGTCTAAATGATAAGAATTTAAAAATAGGAACGAGATTTGAAGTAAGAGATATAAAAAACATTTTTTGATATGTGGGTTTAGGTGTTTTTTTTTACACTAAGCAAGGACGGTATCAAGATTGGATGGAAGACGTTTACGAAAAAAAAAATCTAAACAACTTTTTCCTTTATACTTTTGAGGTCGCTCGAAATGTCGGCCTATTTAACACCGCATAAGCCTAAACGATCAGTGAAAGATTTATCATCGGAAGGATGGTAAACTCAGGCCTCCCTTTTTTACAAAACGTTGCCGAAGGTGTGCACAAAGTTACCTACTCGAGGTTCACTAGGACTCAGCGTACTATTTTTTGGGCATAGAAGAAGCTTTAACTTCTCGGAAAAGGCCATTTCGAACTTGAAAGACATCTGAATATAGGAAGCTATTCTCAAGAATACTTCCCATAGATTTTAATCTTCCGTCCTCCATCTCATACTCACCACACCCCACTTTTGTTGCACACTAAGACCCAGTAAAAGTCAATTCCACTTGCCAGCTGTAACATTTTAATTGAAGCACCGAAAAATACTTTTCTCTACGCTCAGCAAATTAGCAAATTCTTAGCTTTTTCTTATT